TGTTAAAGTTGCTTTAGCTGGGTTTTGAACCCTGCTCTCCCACATGAAAGTCCCTGACATAGACCATTAGACCGTTGGAGCTGTGGCCAGTGGTGGTGCCAGGGGTTGGTTTGTATGTGTGCAGAAAGAGGCCACATTGCCAATACAATTATTGACACTAAACTGCATAATATTACAACAATAGAGCAGTATTAAGACAACATTATAGTAAAACATCAAAATACAATCATATTAGTATTGTAAACACTGAACCATTGAGATCAAATATTATTAAACTATAGTTCAGTACTGAGTAGATACAGCAGGGGCAGTATTGGACCAATACAAGGCTCTATTGACTCCCATTATAAGTTATTAAACATTAACATTTCAAAAACCATAAGTTGTTCAGGCACCAAAAGACATAGCCWTCATTTGGCACAGGAGCTTTACAGAYATAAATTACAATGGCARCTCTAGGACAAATGCAGGAGGAGAAGCGTGCCAAAGTGGAGATGACTTGGATGGGAAACGAATCACAATAGTGTGCATTGCATTGGCAATGCACACTGACTATTTAGTTGCACAAACTTTTGAGGCAATCACTGCTATCAAATGATTCCTGTAACCACTCCTCATGAGCAAACTGCTCATTTAAATCAGGGCTCATAAGGCCACTTCAGAACAGACCAATGTTTTCCTCTCAACCATTCTTGGGTGTTTTTAACTGTGTTTTGGGTCATTGTCCTGTTGCAAGACCCACGACCTGCGAATGAGACCAAGCTTTCTGACACTGGGCAGCACATTTCTCTCTAGAATCCCTTGATAGTCTTGAKATTTCACTGTRCCCTGCACAGATTCAACACACTATGYCAGATGCAGCAAAGCAGCCCCAGAACACAACAGAGCCTCCTCCATGTTTCACAGCAGGGACAGTGTTCTTTTCTTCATTTGCTTCATTTTTCAGTCTGTGAACATAGAGCTGATGTACCTTGACAAAAAGTTCCATTTTTAGTCTTGTCTGACATTCTACCAGAAGTTTTGTGGCTTGTCAAGATGTAGTTTATGAGTTGGGGTCCTCCTTGGTCGTCTCCCATTTAGTCCACTTTGGCTCAAACAACAACAGATGGTGTGATCTACTGATGTTCCTTGAGCTTGAAGTTAACCTTTAATCTCTTTAGAAGTTAAATCWGTGCTCTTTTGTTACCATTCGTATTATCCGTCTCTTTGATTTGTCACCAGTTTTCCTCCTGCAGTCATGTCCAGGGAGGTTGGCTACAGTCCTATGATCTTATTTTTTTAAATAATATGTGCAACTRTAGTCAGAAACATAARGCTGCTTGGAGATGGTCTTATAACCTTTACCTTTAACATGCTTGTCAATAATTTTCTTTCTAATCTCCTGAGAGAACTCTTTCCTTTTCCTCTGGTTCATGTTTTAATATAAAAATGTCAGAGTAAGTTCACATTTAAGCAGAACAATTAGGGGTCTAGGTTTTTACACTGAGTCAAATTACTCATATATTTTGACACAAACTTGAGACAGAATCAGGTGCACGTAGATGTTCTGTATCTATTTTAGGTCAATGCCACTGTTCAGGACAATATGTCATCTTTGTATCCAMCTTCTCACAGATAAACAAAAACATGTCAGGCAGGTGTTAGAAGCAATCCTCCAAAGTTTCCTGCACACATCATCTCAAACCTTTTCCACCAGGACTCTATTTGTATGAAAATGTTTTTTTCCATCTTAAATCTCTTTTTAATTGAATTTGTTGGAGGAAAAGCAGCAGAAATACGGCTTATCTCCATCCCGCCGACCAACGGCTCCCAGTGGCGACAGGTCATGTGTCGAGATATCCAGGAACGGGTGGAATAACTCAGATTCCTGAAACCAGCAGGAGCCACGGCCAAATTTAAGAGGCTGAGGTGAGGCTGACCACCCTGAAAAAMCACTTTCACTGATGAAGATCTTTATTACCCACCACTAAAGGTGCAAGTGGAGCAATAATGTTTTTGCTCAATGCTGTGTG